GATTCTTGACTAATCCTGTTTCAATTACAAAGTGGTTATGTTCTTCCAATAAAACTTCTGGCACTTATATATTCAGGGCTTTTAACTCAAATAAACATACTCTCATATACACACAGCAAAACACACACATTAAAGCCAATCCCTACTATACTGTTTAATATTCATCACTGAGATGATAAACTTTTTACATGCATTTGCTCCAATTAATCAAATATTTAAAATAAAAAAGCAAATTCTGGAGACTAAAAGTAAAAATCAACATATACCCATATGGTGTTCATATCATAATCCTGAATAACAGCAGGATTGATAATAGTTATTGGTTCTAATAACTTTCCAAATTCTTACTTCCTCATCAGTCTATGGTATTATGATTGGTAATATTTATCTTTTTAAAAAATATTATGACTATGGCAAGAGTATTATAATGAAGTTAGTTTTTCAGGGATTTTTTTTTACGCTATCTATGTTAATGTAGTGATAATCCTTGAAAGGATATCCACACAGTTTTCTTCACCTCTAAAATAATGACTTTACTATACAATCAAACTAGCAGAGTTTTCAAATCACGAAGACAAACCCAAAAATGACATGCCACATAAACTCTTCGGTCACTAGAATTTATCAAAGACTGGTATCAAGACAAGATCAACCATAAAAGCAAACTGACAGATGGTTAGTTAAACCCACAGGTATCATTAGTAGCTCTGCCTCAAAGGAATAACTTTTTAAAGTTAAGAAATTACTCCCTTTGCAACTGCAGCTTTTAGAATATGGCAATTGGGGAAATTTATATATAGTTACTCGTAACAAAAAAATTACTTGTTCTTTTTGAAATAGTTTCAAGAATAATTTCTATATTCTCCGCATATTTTATTATACAGTTCTAGTCTGTGAATCTTTAAGACACATAAAAATTATTTTAGAGAATATTTTTAGTTTTTACAAGCAATATACTTTGTTGACCTTTAAAAATAAACTAAATAAAAATCAATACAAATGAAAATCAAGACATCAGCTAATAATAAAGAAAAATTCTTGTTTATACAAGTCTAACATAATTCCCAAGAGAGAAAATTTGTGAGAGAAAAGGAAAGTGTGAAAAATAATTTAAAACTACCTCCTTTATCTGTAATCGAAACAAAATAGTGTATTTAAAAAAAAATTTTTTTTAGAAAGAGCAAACATTCCCACTATTCTAAGAGAAACACAATGGAAGCTATAAATCAATTAGTTCTTCTGAATACAAAGGATCACCTTTCTATTAATCTACAACGAAAGAATTCTAAAAATAAATCACATGAATATATAGCCATTAAAATAGGAGTAAGAGGCTCGGCACCTATAGCTCAACCGGCTAAGGCGCCAGCCACGTACACCTAAGGTGGCGGGTTCGAATCCCCAGCCCGGACCCGCCAAACAAC